TGATGCAGAGAAAGCTTTCGACAAAATTCAACACCCATTTAAGATAAAAACCCTGCAGAATGTAGGCAGAGAGGTAACTTTCCTCAACATAATAAAGGCCATATATGACAAACCCACAGCCAACATCGTCCTCAATGGTGAAAAACTGAAATCATTTCCACTAAGATCAAGAACAAGACAAGACAAGGTTGCCCACTCTCACCACTATTATTCAACATAGCTTTGTAAGTTTTAGCCACAGCAATCAGAGAAAAAAAAGAAATAAAAGGAATCCAAATCAGAAAAGAAGAAGTAAAGCTGTCACTGTTTGCAGATGACGTGATGCTATATGTACAGAATCCTAAAGATGCTACCAGAAAACTACTAGAGCTAATCAATGAATCTGGTAAAGTAGCAGGATACAAAATTAATGCACAGAGATCTCTGGCATTCCTATACACTAATGACGAAAAATCTGAAATTGAAATTAACACTCCCATTTACCACTGCAACAAGAAGAATAAAATATCTAGGAATAAACCTACCTAAGGAGACAAAAGACCTGTTGGCAGAAAATTATAAGACACTGATGAAAGAAATTAAAGATGATACAAATAGATGGAGAGATATACCATGTTCTTGGATTGGAAGAATCAACACTGTGAAAATGACTCTACTACCCAAAGCAATCTACAGATTCAATGCAATCCCTATCAAACTACCACTGGCATTTTTCACAGAACTAGAACAAAACATTTCACAATCTGTATGGAAACACAAAAGACCCCAAACAGCCAAAGCAATCTTGAGAATGAAAAATGGAGATGGAGGAATCAGGCTCCCTGACTTCAGACTATACTACAAAGCTACAGTAATCAAGACAGTATGGTACTGGCACAAAACAGAAATATAAACCAATGGAACAGGACAGAAAGCCCAGAGATAAACCCACGCACATATGGTAACCTTACCTTTGATAAAGGAGGCAAGAATATACAGTGGAGAAAAGACAGCCTCTTCAATAACTGGTGCTGGGAAAAGTGGACAGGTACATGTAGAAGTATGAAATTAGAACACTCCCTAACACCATACACAAAAGTAAACTCAAAATGGATTAAACACCTAAATGTAAGGCCAGACACTATCAAACTCTTAGAGGAAAACATAGGCAGAACAATCTATGACATAAATCACAGCAAGAATCTTTTTGATCCACCTCCTAGAGAAATGGAAATAAAAACAAAAATAAACAAATGGGGCCTAATGAAACTTCAAAGCTTTTGCACAGCAAAGGAAAACATAAACAAGACCAAAAGACAACCCTCAGAAGGGGAGAAAATATTTGCAAATGAAGCAGCTGACAAAGGATTAATCTCCAAAATTTACAAGCAGCTCATGCAGCTCAATAACAAAAAAACAAACAATCCAATCCAAAAATGGGCAGAAGACCTAAATAGACATTTCTCCAAAGAAGATATACATATTGCCAACAAACACATGAAAGAATGCTCAACATCATTAATCACTAGAGAAATGCAAATCAAAACTACAATGAGATATCATCTCACACCGGTCAGAACGGCCATCATTAAAGAATCTAGAAACAATAAATGCTGGAGAGTGTGTGGAGAAAAGCAAACACTCTTGCACTGTTAGTGGGAATGTAAATTGATACAGCCACTATGGAGAACAGTATGGAGGTTCCTTAAAATACTACAACTAGAACTACTATATGACCCAGCAATCCCACTACTGGGCATATACCCTGAGAAGACCATAATTCAAAAAGAGTCACGTGGGCTTCCCTGGTGGCGCAATGGTTGAGAGTCCGCCTGCCGATGCAGGGGATGCGGGTTTGTGCCCCGATCCAGGAAGGTCCCACATGCCGCGGAGCGGCTGGGCCCATGGGCCATGGCCGCTGAGCCCGTGTGTCCGGAGCCTGTGCTCCACAACGGGAGAGGCCACAACAGTGAGAGGCCTGAGTACTGCAAAAAAAAAAAAGAGTCATGTACCAAAATGTTCATTGCAGCTCTATTTACAATAGCCAGGACATGGAAGCAACCTAAGTGTCCATCGACATATGAATGGATAAAGAAGTTGTGGCCCATATATAAAATGGACTATTACTCAGCCATAAAAAGAAACGAATTGAGTTATTTGTAGTGAGGTGGATGGACCCAGAGTCTCTCATACAGAGTGAAGTCAGAAAGAGAAAAACAAATACCGTATGCTAACACATATACATGGAATCTAAGAAAAAAAAAAAGATCATGAAGAACCTAGGGGTAAGATGGGAATAAAGACACAGACCTACTAGAGAATGGACTTGAGGATATGGGGAGAGGGAAGGGTAGGCTGTGACAACCTGAGAGAGTGGCATGGACATATATACACTACCAAACGTAAAACAGATAGCTAGTGGGAAGAAGCCGCATAGCACGGGGAGATCAGCTTGGTGGTTTGTGACCACCTAGAGGATTGGGATAGGGAGGGTGGGAGGGAAGGAGACACAAGATAGAAGAAATATGGGAACATATGTATAACTGATTCACTTTGTTATAAAGCAGAAACTAACACACCATTGTAAAGCAATTATACTCCAATAAAGATGTTAAGGAAAAAAAAAAAACCTATACATGTGTTAAAGTTCAGTGAACTGTTCACCAAAAACAAAAAAAGGTCTATTTACTTTATGCTAATTTAAAAAAAAAAATTTTTAAAAAGGAAATGGGAATATTAAAAAACAAACTACTGGGAGCTCCCTGGTGGCGCTGTGGTTAAGAATCCACCTACCAGGGCTTCCCTGGTGGCGCAGTGGTTGAGAGTCCGCATGCCGATGCAGGGGACACAGGTTCGTGCCCCGGTATGGGAAGATCCCACATGCCGCAGAGCAGCTAGGCCCGTGAGCCATGGCCGCTGAGCCTGCGCGTCTGGAGCCTGTGCTCCGCAACGGGAGGCCACAACAGTGAGAGGCCCACGCACCGCAAAAAAAAAAAAAAAAAAAAAAAGAATCCACCTACCAATGCAGTGGACACAGGTTCAAGCCCTGGTCTAGGAAGATCCCACATGGTGCGAAGCAACTAAGCCCGTGCGCCACAACTACCGAGCGTGCACGCTAGAGACCGCAAGCCACAACTACTGAGCCAACGCACCTATAGCCCGTGCTCTGCAACAAGATAGGCCACCACAATTAGAAGCCTGTCCTCTGCAATAAAGAGTAGCCCCCGCTCGCCGCAACTAGAGAAAGGCCGCATGCAGCAACGAAGACGCAACGCAGCCAAAAATAAATAAATAAAACAAATAAATTAAAAAAAAAAACTACTAACAAGTGACTTTCGTTAATACATAAAGAAATCACTAACAAGTGACATTAATTTCATACATAGAAAGGTTTCATGTATTTATTCAATGAATATTTAACTATGGACTACTTGTCAAATACACTTTTTTGAAATATATATTAAAAAGCTGAACAGAAATTATATAACAGCAGTGAGATTTTGATATATGTACTATGTGTTATTAGCTTATTAAATCCTCACAATTACTCTCAAAGGCACGTATTATTTTTCTTACTTTACCAATGCAGAAACCAAATCAGAGAAATTAAATAACTTGCCCAAAGTTGCTGAGATAATAGGTACTTGAGCTAGAAATTAAACATTAGTTTGCCTAATTCAGTGTCTGACCAAACAGTAGATGGTCAATTAATGCTGAATGAATGAATGCACATAAATGCATGCTCTATGATACAAGCTGCCTTCTGACATATTTTGTCATGTTAAATGTATGTATTCACATTTTAAAAGATAAAAGAATCTAGATGGATTAAATTAAATGGGTAATTTATTCATTAAATTCCTTTTGTAGTTAAGTTCACAGTTTTTAAAAGATCAGAATAAAATAACAGGACTATTTATGAAACATTAACCAGTTTATTGCACTTGCAAATAGTTTTCTTCTTTTTAGTGCTACATAATCTACTTGATATAGCAATCACAATGGAATGAAGAAAAAAGAAACAAACACAGATACTGTCATTTTCCCTTTCCTTAGAAATTCTTTAATAAAAAAAATCAAAAGACCAATTCACACCAACAGAATAATTTAAAACCAGTACATAAATTACCTTCAACTAGGTCTCCTTCCTTGACCATATACTCATACTTGGGCCATTTTGATGGTAGTATGTTTTAACACCAACCTCTCCAAAATAAAAGAGATGCTGAGAATAATTTTAAAAAGATTAAAAGACCTTTAGAAAGTTTAATAGACGTAAGAGAGTTTTGATGTTATCACATAACTGTTTGAGATCAACATTTTATGTCAATTCAATTTTCAGCAATATTTATTAAGTTTCCTATGATATTTAAGCGTTCTCTGCTAGTCATCAGAATTAGACTTAGGTACAACCTAGATTATGACACATACTGTTCAGAAAGGATTTAATAGCAGGACTATGACTGCTATCCTCAGAAAGGCCTACTTCTAAGGCTGCCCGTTGGCTGGTACCTGGGAACCTGGATTTGTGGAGGGGTCTCACCATTTTCCCTAACTGATAAGAGTTATTGTGCCTCAACTGTTTGTACAAACAAAGTGGTTTATGCTGAACACCTGCTTTCCTTTTAGGAGTCTGAAATTTTGTTATGTAACAGTCAGAGGGTGCCTACGTGACCAGCCCCGAATTAAAAACCTGAGAGCTGAGGCTTTAACAAGCTTCTCTGGTAGAAAACGTTTCATATGTGTTGTCACAACTTGTTGCTAAAGGAACTGAATATGTCCTCTGTGACTCCATTAGGAAAGGACTCTTAAACACTTGCACTTCCTCCAAATTTTGCCGAAGGCACCTTTTCCCTTTGCTGATTTTGCTTTGCATGCTGTCACTCTAAGAAATCCTAGCAATAAGAGCAACTACATGCTGAGCCCAGTGGGAACTCCCAGAAAATCATCAAACCTGGAGTCAGTCATGGGGCCTTCCTGACATACATACTAAAAGTTATCTGAGTAAAATGTATACTTACCATCTTACCAGGCAATGTGCTCTGGGAGGAAAGTCATTATTCATACACAGCAAATCTTGCATAGATTGTGGAATAACATCTACAGAAATATTTGATAATTAAAAAGTGAGTATGTTCATTCTAAGGCAGAATTTTATCATATGATTTAAAGAAATCATTCTATGACATGTCTTGCTAGTCCATGTAGTTTTGCAACTGCTTAACGATTTATATCTAAGGCTAACTCTAAGCTTTGGAGGAAGACCAGTGTCTCTCTTGCTCTCTCCCTTTTCTTTAAAAAAAAAAAAAAAAAAAAAAAGCCAGTCCATAAAAAAATATATATTGATATATATATCATTCCCATGTTTATAGTATGTTCCATTCTTCTAAATCATGATTCAAACAATTTCTCATTCCTTATTAGAAAACCTTGTTTTATTTGTTCTTCTTAGCCTGCCCTTGTCTTTATTTTTCTTCAAAATTATACTTAGAAGTCTGTCAACTCTATACCTCCTCCCATGGCTAGCCTTTGCTCACCCCTGGCCATCTTAAATATTCTTGTAAAACCACTACGCAGCTTCTCCTTTATAACCCATATATCTGTAAGTACTTGCACTACTATCCATAATAAGATACTAACATCAGTGATCATTACTTACACTCGTAAATGCATAATAAATTCAAAGCATAAAGAATAATGTCTATAAAAATATTTCCTGGAACCTCCCTGGAGGTCCAGTGGTTAGGACTCCGCACTTCCATTGTGGGGGGCGCAGGTTCGATCCCTGGTTGGGGAAGATCCCGCATGCCACGCTGTGCAGCCAAAAAAAAAAAAACAATTTCCTTTTGCTGTATAGCTATACTTGCTGAGCAAATTTGTATTTTGTTAATTTGAAAAAAGAATAGGAGAACACTAATGACTTGATGCTCTAATTAAAACAATAAGCAACTCCAATAAATAAAAGACCAGTGTTCAAATCTTCTGACCTCTGATAATCGTTTTAAACATGTATCTCCAAATTAACTGAGCTGATGGTTTGCTTGTAACTTCTACCATTAGTTACAGCTTCAATCACGACCAAATTAAAACTGCCCAATACATACACACATGCAGCAATAATGCCTTAACTACCTTAAATCCATTCACCTTCTCTCATCATACCACAGTCTCCTTTATCTATTCATCTCAGAAACACTGATTCTAGGGGCTTCCCTGGTGGCGCAGTGGTTGAGAGCCCGCCTGCCGATGAAAGGGACACGGGCTCATGCCCCGGTCCGGGAAGATCCCACATGCCGCAGAGCGGCTGGGCCTGTGAGCCACGGCCGCTGAGCCTGCGCATCCAGAGCCTGTGCTCTGCAACGGGAGAGGCCACAACAGTGAGAGGCCCGCGTACCGCAAAAAAAAAAAAAAAAAAAACAACTCTCTTAAAATGGATCTTTCTCTTAAAATGATTGATAATATAAAATCAAGTTCCCTTTGCAAGTTTGTAAATTATGCCTAGCAAATAAAATATATGCCTTTTTGGGGAAGAAACAAACTCTTAAAATTCTTTATTAAGCTGCAAATGATGTGTGCTAACTTGAATACTATTTGCAATGCTTATACAAGAGCCTGGTAAACATCAGTAATCATGAGATAGGTACTTATGTACAGTATCTTATTAAATCCTCCCATTAACCCTCCAGATAGTATTACTCCATTTTACAAATGAGATCAGTCAAATTTAGAAAGGTCAAGTAACTAGTAAGTAGAAAAACCAGAATTTTAACCCACTTGATCTAACTCTAAAGTCTGGGGTATATCCAAAACATGACACTGACTAATCCATAACTTTTAAAAAATTCTTCAAAGCCCAGCTTAGTTACTTAATTCTCTATAACATCTTCTCTAATCTCTCTGGACTAAAAGTGATCTTTCCTATTCTGAACTCCAGTAAGACTTTGTGCTTTGGGATGGCACTTATCACTTTTTACCTCTTATTATTGTTACTTACTTATAGACCTTATCTCCCCTACTGGAATGTAAATTTTTTTCAGTTGGGCTTAGCAGAGTACCAAGCACATCTCAGGCATTCAATAAGTATGTGCTGATTTAATTAATTTTAAAATAAATGATGCTGCAATTTTTCCTCTGCAAAGATCATACTCTATTTCAGATGTGGTGAAACGACTCTGCATACGTAAAATATCTCCAGAGGATACTACTTAAGAGAACTAAATTCATAATTCAAAATTATAATCACTCTTACAAGAGTTTAAAAATATGTAGTACAAACTTACCTTCTAATACTTCATCCTTTCCTTCTTTATCAGGGGATTCTTGTACAAGATAATGATGAGTGACTGAGAACTTGAAATCAGCAAATGAAATCTCATCTGATTTCTCTTCCCATGTGCCAGAAGTAAATATACCCTGTATTTGACAAAAAAAAAAAAAAAAAAAAGGAAAAACATCTACTTTATGGTATTCAATACTTACCATTAGGTTTATTAACCACAGATCTTTTTTCCCTTTTTCTGCCCATTAATCTAAAAGTTCGATCCTATATTTATCCTCCCCATAATAAAAGGAAAAGGAAAAATATGTAAGTGAATAAACAAAGAGGAAATTATTTTATAAACTATCACAGTGTTCCTTTAGAAGAAAATTCCCCTAGAATATTAACTATCAAGTGACTTACAAAATTGTAATTTTCAAGTAATTTTTATGAGTCTCTATATAAAATCATGAATATACAGTAAATCCCATGCCTCTTCACACACCAAAAAAAACCCAACATCTTCTCTACCAACAGCAGAATCTGTGAGTAGCTTTTAACTGAAAATAGTTAAATTTCATAAATTTTAAAAATTATAAAAAATACATATTATTTTTATTATAAAGATCTCAAATGTAATAACATCACTACGTGGTACACAGAATTACTGAATATCAGAAATTGCTTCAGAAAAAGAAAAGCAAATTTGTAAAATCAATTTAAGTCACATGAGATCTGTAGTACTTATTTGCTTAACAGGTTCTGCAAGCTTCTTTATCAAGCTTTGGCATTCAAATATTTTCAAATGAACAGCAACTTCTTCATTGGAAAATATTTTAATTAAAAGTTCCAAACAGCCCTCTTACTTACACAACATAACCATAAAAAAGGATTTTTGCCACAAGTCTCCCATAGCTATTCTTTCCACTGGAGAGATATTACAGATGGTCATTACAGCATAGCACCACCACTACAAGGCAGAAATACCAACTCAGCAACTTCCAAATATAGATAGCCCCAAACTAGACAGGAAAAATGTAAGGAATGATTCTCTGCATTACTGAATTTTTTAAAAGTGTTTTTCAGACTGTACCTAAGTTTTATGTGTTCCTGGCAAGGTATTTATAATTCCGAATCTTTTTATTAGGAGAATAATCACCATGTATGATACGTATCAAAAACTATGATTTTTATACATTGGGTTTCTTTAAAGTGAGGTTAACCTGTGTTAAGATATATATGGCCTGTACCAAAAGTCTCAAACTGCAGTAAGTAATAAATGATATACATAAGAGCTTGGTTTGCTAGGAAGAATGCCCACAATAAAGCAGTGAAAGCTACAACTAAGGTGGGGGGGAGAAGTCCGGAAAATGAGAGATAAGTCCCCTTTTCAAGCTTGCAGAAAACCTGAAATTTTTTTTGCCATATTTTTAATTGAAATATAGTCAATTTACAATGTTATGCTAGTTTCTGATGTACAGCAAAGTGATTCAGTTATACAATACATATTCTTTTTCATATTCTTTTCCATTATGGTTTATTACAGAATATTGAATATAGTTCCCTGTGCTATACAATAGGACCTTGCTGTTTATCCATTCTATATATAATAGTTTACACATCTGCTAGTCCCAAACTCCCAGTCCTCCCCTCCCCCTTGGCAACCAGAAGTCTGTTCTCTATATGTCTATGAGTCTGTTTCTGTTTCACAGGTAAGTTCATTTGTGTCATATTTTAGATTCCACATATAAGTGATACCATATGGTATCTGTCCTTTTCTTTCTGACTTACTTCACTTAGTATGATAATCTCTAGGTCCATCCATGTTGCTGCAAATGGCATTATGAAATATTCCCTTAAAATGATATAAGACACATTATCTGACCCTAATCCTGCATTCTAGGTACAACTGTCAACCTTACTGAACGGCTATCTCAAGGTGGATTTGGTTGTATTCAATATAGAGGGCATGTAGGTTCTGTATCCAAAACAAACTTTTTAAGATAATTTAGCTTAACTGAAAAACAACACTCCAACCTCCCTCCTTCAATTCCATTATGATACAGTCACTTGACACCAAATTCCAGTATGGTGTATATTTACTACTAGAACCAGAAAGGATAACTCTAGTTCAGAATTAATCTAGTAATTCATCAAAAATAACTTCTGATGGCCCTAATTAGACAATAAAAAGAATTAAGCACACAGACTAGAAAGAAAGCTGTCTGCATTCACAGATGGCATGATTATGTACATAACATATCCAAAGGAATCTACAAAGTACCCAAACTGAGTTTATAAAGTTGTGGAATTCAAGGTCAGTATACAAAAATCATGTGCATTTTTATATACATATACTGAGCAAATGCTTGGGAAATTAATTTTTTTTAAATACCACTCTTATAACATCAAAAAAACATCAAATACCTAGGGAAAAGACTTAATGAAAGATGAGCAAGAACTCTACCTAAAATACCTCAATGCATTACTAAAAGATAGTAAAGACCTAAACAGAGATATTTCATGTACATGGACTGGAAAACACACCACCATTAAGATGTCGATTCTCCCAAATTGATCTATAACTTCAACACAATCCTAATCAAAATCCCAGCAGGCATTTTGTAAAAACTGCCAAGCTGATTCTAAAACTAACATGAAAATCCAAAGACCCTAGAATAGCTAAAATAATTTTTGATGAAAAGTATACTACCTGATTTTAAGATTTACTTTGCTACAGCAATTAAGACAGTACAGTACTGGCATAAGGACAAATAGATCAATGAAACATAACAGATAGTCCAGAAATATATTCACACTAATACTTCATTTTACAACAGAGGAGCCTCTACAATTCGGGGAAAGGATGGTCTTTTCAACAAATGGTTCTGAAATAATTAGATATTCATATGGAAGAGAACACAGAATATCCTCACAACCTTAAAATAGGCAAAAATTCCTTTGACAAGACACGAAAGTCACTAACAATAAAATCAAAAACTGAGAAAATGAGCTTCACTAAAATAAACATGCTCATCAAAAGACACAATTAAGGGCTTCCCTGATGGCGCAGTGGTTCTGAGTCTGCCTGCCGATGCAGGGGACACGGGTTTGTGCCCCGGTCCAGGAAGATCCCACATGCTGCGGAGAGGCTGGGCCCGTGAGCCATGGCCGCTGAGCCTGCGTGTCCGGAGCCTGTGCTCCGCAACGGGAGAGGCCACAGCAAGGAGAGGCCCGCGTACCGCAAAAAAAAAAAAAAAAAAAAAGACACAATTAAAATGATTAGAAAAGCCACAGACTAATGGAAAAACTCAAAATACATTTATCTGACAAAAGACTCACAACCAGGATGTACGAGAATAATTTTTAAAACGAAACAATCCAATATTTTTTTAATGAGCAAAATACTTGAACACTTAGCAAAAGAAGGTATGAATGACTAATAGTTAACTGTGATGAATCACCAGATACTACTGAATTTCAGTAGTCGACAGCGAAATGCAAATTAAAACCACAATGAGATACCACTTCACACCCAGTAAGATGACTAAAAATAAAAATCTGACAATGCCAACTGTCAGAATGTAGAGCAACTTGAAATCTCACATACTGCTAAGAGTATACAATGGTATACAACCTTGTACTTTAGAAAAGTTTGGCAGTTTCTAATAAAACTGAACACAAGACCTAGCAATTCTGCTCCTAAGAATATACTCAAGAAAAATCAAAGCATATGTTCACCAAATTGTTCATAGCAGATTATTAATAAGAAAAAAATGGAAACAATTTAAATATTTATCAATAGGAGAAAGGATAAACACACTGTGGTACAGTCATACGATCCAAAAAATGATATGTGTAACATGGATGAATTCTTAAAATATTATGTTGAGCAAAAAGTCAGACACGAATGCATAGTGTATGATTCCACTTATATGAAACTCAAGAACAGGTAGAATTAATATATAGTGAAAGAAATAAGAACTATCATTACTTAAGGGATAGAGAGAAAAACAAGGAATCTTTCTGGGATGATGAAAATTGTTTTTTACTTTAGATGGTAGTAACACGGGTACATTCATTTGTCAAAATAAACTGTAAATCTGAATTTTGTCCATTTTACTGTATGTAAACTATAACCCAACAAAGAAAAAACATCAACAGAACACCTCTTTAAAAAGAGATAAGGAAATATGGGGGAATATTAAACTTCTGAGGAAAATGTGGTAGGTAGGGAGAGGAAGATGCTCTTTTTCCAAGAGAAAAGATAATGGCAATTATGTAAGAACAACATGCACTAAACATCATCATGTGGACCCAACAATCCTTTCCACTCATCTTTCAACTTAATAAATTTTAGGTAATTAAGAAATATTCTCAGCCAGAACTTTGGAGGGCCAAAGATCTCAGCAAGATAAAGGTCACTCTTTTAGTTGAGCCCTTCACAATGTCAGGCCCAGACTATTTTAATAGCTTTCTAGTGGTCTCTGTATCCCTAACCTACAATCCTCCTTCCACATGGTTACCTTCCTAAAATATAAATCTGATATTGTTCTTCTGTTTAAAATACTTTAGTGGATTTCCATAACCTATAAGTGGCTTCCAGAGATGTTTAATCAGGTATTCCTATCAGTAAAAGATTTTGAGTATCCACCTCCATGTATGTATATTTTTATTAACAAATTAAGCATTACTGTAGCAATATATTATGCATATGATATATAAAACAAAAACATTAAAAAGGGATATAAACGTAATATAATTAGAAGTCATAATACAAAAATGGCTCATCACAAGCACCTCTTAAGTGTGGCATTACTGGGTTGGCCAAAAGGTTCATTCGGCATTTTTCTGTAAGATGGCTCTAGTAGCACTTAGTTGTCTTTAACTTCATTTGAAACAATTTTGTTAGACTGTATGTGACAGCTGTCATATCAGCATGCATTTAAGAAAAGACTTATCAAAACTGGTGAATTTTTGTGTAGCCATTTTAACATTGAAGATGAAAGAAAAAAAGCAACATTTTCGGCATATTATGCTTTATTATTTCAAGAAAGGTAAAACGCAACTGAAATGTAAAAATAAGATTTGTGCAGTGTATGGAGAAGGTGCTGTGACTGATCGAATGTGTCAAAAGTGGTTTACGAAGTTTTGT